TGCCCCGAAGGAAGCTGTTCCGACGGCCCCGGAAACAAGGGTCGCATCCTGCTCGGGGGGCTTGTTTCGGTGCCTGCTCGGGGGCTCTTGGGGGCCTCCCGGGGGGCTCTTGGGGGCCTTTGGCAGCCTCTAGTGGTTTCTGGGGATGCTCTTGGGGCCGAGGGCCCGTAAAGTGCGCTCGGATCCCGCGTCTGGGCCCCTTCTTGGAGCCGTGTTGGGACTCTCTTGGGCCGTCTTCGAGGCCTCTTAAGCGGTCCCGGGGCGCTCTTGGGCCGTCTTGGGGCCGTCTTGGTGGCCTCTTGGGCCGTCTTGGGGCGATCTTGGGTGCCTCTTGGCCGTCTTGGAGCGCCAGGGAGCCCAAAAGGAGAGAAAGCCAAAAACATCGAAAAACACAATGGAAAATCAACGATTCGAGCCTCTTGGGGCCCTCTTGGAGAGCCTCTTGGAGGCCTCTTGGGGCGTCTTGGAGGCCCCTTGGGCCGTCTTGGGACCATCTTGGGCGTCTTGGAGCGATCTGGGACCGCCTCGGGGCCCTCTTGGACCATCCTGGGGGCCTCCTGGGGCCGTCTTGGAGGCCTCTTGGGTCGTCTGGAGGCTCCTTGGAGGCTCCTTGGAGGCCCCGGGGAGGGGGTATTAAAAAGCGTTCCCCGATGGTTGCGGAGTGGGCGGCCCCGCCGGGGGGGGGGGGGCCTATTTGTTTATATTATATATATGTACAGAGAGAGAATCCTAAACAACACTGAGAGAAAGGGATAACAAACAAAAACAACTAACAAGAAACGAGAAAGGGCCCAAGACAGAAAGAGAGAGAGAGAGAGAGCTGGATCACGCGCGCACTGAGTAATTGGTAGAGTCATCGCATGGTAGTTGATGCATGGACGAAACGCCCGCGGAGCGGGGGGTCGACACCGCACTCGTCATGCTGAAAAAATGCGGAGCGGGAAACCAAAGCTGGACGCTGTGCTTAACCACTCGTACCGCGGACACCAAAATCGAGACCCGTCAACCTCTCGCCCTCCATCCATCTCCCGTTCTCGAATTGCTCCATCTCTCCACTGTCTTCTTCCTCCCATCTTTCCCACGAGGGGTAGGCCAGCGACTGGCATTAGATCCCAATCCCGATCTCCGAGCTCTGACGGGGAATACTTGTGACCCGTCCGCCTGGCTCTGCGATGGACAAACCTCACTTTAGCAAACCACCCTTTAGTGGAAACGGCCTAGGACCGAAACCGACGGACCTGAACCCGCAAAACTGACGGCCGCGACGCCCTCTCGCGAACCGAAAACGGCCAATTCACTAATCGACGTGTCAAGGGTAGGAGATCTATCAGCCCCCGATCGTCCCCCTTCCTGCTGACTCTCTTTGAAAAGGCAACGCTATGGAGGGCAGCTCAGGGGCGGGGGCAAACATCGAGCTGGAATCGGCGATACACCACTGGAAATCTGCGAAACGCCCCCGATAGTGAATCCGAAAGATCTCGGGCTGGGCGGGCTATCGGGCCGCGATGGGCGATGACAAGGCGATTGGGGGGGCGAACCGAAAACGGCCAATTCGCTTATCGACGTGTCAGGGGTAGGAGGTCTGTCAACCTCCGACTGGCACATGCCTGCACGTCAGCGGTCGGGCCCACGCGGGTGTGCGGGCTCCAGGCGATGCGAAACAAGCCGATGCCCCCCTGGGCCAGGAGAGCAGACAACAGAAGCCATTACTCGGAAGCTGGGCGATGGCTGGCAAATCCGCGGCTGCTAAAACGGTCCTCCCGGAAGAGAAAAACAAATTCCCGGAAGAGAAATCAACGCACTAAATAGTAAACGGGCTACTTCCCAGAAGAACATAGCAATTTCCCGGAGCTCTGTTTTAGCCGCCACGGGTTTGCCAGCCTTCCCCTGGCTTCTGAATTATGTAGCTATTGTTTTTGAACGGTCGCCCGAGGTGGCTTCTGCGGCGTCTCAGATGACTCTGCACTAGACAATACTGTCGTCGCAATTTCGGGGGGACGAAGACATGTTTCGCAACGTCATGCTTCTGACCGGGAACAGTGGCTGGTCTATCGTATGCGCATCGTTTCGTAAGCGCGTCCGTCTTTTCTCGGCGGACTCAAGCAAAACCCAAACATAGGTTGCAGAACGAAAGGCAAAGACTCTGGCGAAACACCTCCTCAGGACTCCGCACATGCATGAAGACTGAAATGTGTAGGACTGCCCCTAACATAATTCAACAATGTCTGAGTGAATTCGGGGCGTGCCCGGGGGAAAATGAAAAGGGGCGGGCCTTCTCAGAAACCTCCCCCAAAGACACACAAAACTTCTCAGAGGGTGCGAGTGCTTTTGAGAAGCCCCACCGCCATTTGAGAAGGCCTCCTCCTTCCCTCTAACTTCCCCCCAAGCGCGCTGCCGAATATCAGACAAATCGGTCCCCGGACCCCTCCCGAGGTCCACCCAACGCGGTTTGTCACCACGGATCGACTTTCGAGTGCCCCACGGGGCCTGGGAGCGTCCTCCAGAGGCCGCAAACTGAGAAAAACATCCTCGAACCTTGAAGTTCGAACCTCGATCATCACTTCCCTCTCTGGGCTCGTCGCCGACCGAAGCCAGCCAGCGCCTACGTCGCCACGGCACGCGCGCCTGGCCAGGGAAGCTGGACGCGCTGGCCGCCAAACTGCTGTCGCAGCTGCAGCCCGGGGAGCCTCTGCTGGTGGAGCCGGCGAGGGCTCTGGGCGACAACGGAGAGGCGGAAGATGGGAAGGAGGAGGAGCACGAGGAGGGGGAGGGGAAGAGGGCTCGCACGGGGGAGACGGATCCTGCAGGAATCGGGTCCTGGACCCTCTCCAGGACGAGCACTGCATCCTGACCCGTTCTCTCCCAATCCCGGGGCCCGTGGAGGGCCCCGAGAGCCCGACGACGGCGAAAACCCCGAGGACGCGCCCCCCCCATGCCGAAGAGGATGGGCCGCCGATCGCCGAGCCAGCTCACCATCACGCCTCGCCCCGGTGCTCTGCCCCCCCCGCCCTGGCGGCCCGGGGACCGGGCCTCCATCAGCCTGGACTCCTCGGCCCGGGACGCCGCGATCTGCTCCTGTAGAGGGGAGGCCGCCCTGCTCGCCGAAGTCTCGCACAGAATGGCAAAAGGAAGACGAAGCCAAGGCCAGGAGAGGCTCGAAGATAGAAGCCGCCCCCCGAGAAGGATTTCCATAGCTGTTTTTTGGACTATCCCCGGGGCCCGGAGGGGGCCCCGGGAGGCCGAGCGCGACGACAGGCCTGCCGTCCAGACGTCGGCACGACGCCAACAAGACTGAGGACCTCCAGAGGCCCACGCGTGGGAAAAACGGGCGAGCCAAATGTCCGCGGGAGCACGAGGCGGAGCCCAGGGCCCTGGTTCTGCATTTTTCCCCCTGCCGTTTTCGCCTCGGTTCCGGCCCTGGGCCACTGCGCAGGTCGATCCGGCCCCGAAATAATGTCGGTTCGCGATGCAATAAATGCACCCCACACCCCAGGGCTGATGAAAAGACCATGCGAGGCGCAAAACATCATTTTTGAACGCGCGCGCCACGGGGTCGTCGCGGGTGCTGCCGAAGAGATCGCGTGCCTCCCTGAATGACTGCCTCAAAACGATTGATTGCCTTTCGTATAGAAGCTGTTTTTGGGGTCGTAAACGTCCGAAGCGATCTTCCCCCTCTCAGGCGTCGTTGTCGTCGCCGCCGCCGCCGTCGTCGTCGTCGTCGTCGTCGTCGTGGTCGTCGTCGTCGTCGTCGGTCGTCGTCGTCGTCGACTACAGCGGGCTTGCGCAGCAGCACCCCCCCACCCCCCAATAGGGCATCCGCAGTGCGTCGTCGTCGTTTTCGTCATGGTCGTCGTCATCGTCGTCATCGCCGTCGTCGTCGTCGTCGTCTTCGTCGTCGTCGACTACAGCGGGCCTGCGCAGCAGCACCCCCCCAACCCGTAAGGGCATTCGCAATGCGTCGTCGTCGTCGCCGCCGTCGTCGTCGTCGTCAACGTCGTCGACTACAGAGACCACGACAGAGGGGGGGGAGGAGGACTGCCCGCCTTGCTCGGGTCGGATGAAAGGCTGGGGAAGGAAAACGGGGGTTGCGAAACCGACTGCGCGCAGCTGGTTCCGGTCGCCCCGCCGAAGGGCCAGTCCTCGATGCATGGCCGCTTTCGGCGCCAGGGGGCGCTCGGAAAATCAGCAAGGTGAGTTGCTGGGCAAATCCCCGCTTGGCCACGCCCCTTTTCGCCCAGCCCGCCTTGCTCGCGGGCCCACGAGGCAGCTGGCGCCCCCCTGGCTGCGGCCAAGGCAAAAAATGCGCTGTGGTTCAACAGACAAGATCACGGAAAGTGCGAGGGCGAGGGCCGACAGCAGTTCTTCTTCATTTCGAATAGGTGACGCCCTGGCTCACGGTCCCTGCTTCTGCCGCCTTTGCTTCCCGCCCCCCTCCCCTGCCCGAGTCTGTGCTGTCTGTCGCCTTCTCGCTGGCGGCTGGGCGTCGGCGCCAAGAACCAGTGTCGCCGCCGTTGGTTCTCGATCTGGCGGGCACCACCCCGCGATTCGCCCGAGCAGGGGAGCACTTTTTAAACGCGCGCCCCCCACGGATGTGTTGGTCACGCGAGACGAGAACGCCGAGAAGCCGGAAAGGCGAGAACGCCCCAATCTGCCGGGGGGCCGCAACTGCCGTGACCCACGCCTCTCCCCATCCCCACCCCCGTCGCTCGACCCGCTGCTCCGGCCGCCCTCCTCCGCCCTGCCTCCGAGCGAACAGCTGCACAAACCTGAGGCGGGGCCAGGACGAGGATAAGCTCGGGTGGGCATGGACCGAGGACCTCTGAGGCCTGGCGGCTCTCGAGGATGCCTCAGGCGCAGAGACCTTCTCAGAGCGCCACGGAGCGCGCTCAACCGCTCCGGAACCAGAGGTATCCTCGTCCCAGCCTCGCCCGGCAGAGAGGCAAGGGTGAGTGCAGGGCAGACAAGGAAGTGCGGGCGAGATCTGTCGACTGTCGCACGACTCAAAAATCAAGCGGACCTGGCGCCGGAAAGGACTCCACTCCACGAGGCTCGCAGCACGCGCTCGAACCCGTTTCCACTGCCGGACAGGGCGACAGCAGGAGGCGGACACGAGGGTGCAGGCAAGCAAGAAGCCTGGCGCCTGAACGGCGCATCGGCACAGAGGGAAGCTGGCACCCCATGCCGCTCACGCCTTCCTCAAGGCAGTGCTGCGTAGACGCAGGGAGCCCATTGCTGCTTAGGCCTCCCGCGTGAACGGTTCTCGTCCCAGATTCGAGGCAGGTTCGACTTTGCTTTGCGCGTGAGCCTGCGCAGTGGGTGCTCCTCAGGAAGTGCGGCGATCTCATTGTAGAGCCTCTTCTGGCGCTCGAGCAGATCCTGACTCGGATCGTGCTCTCCGGTCCGCCCCAACACGCTGCGGTGATCGGAACTCTTGAGACATAGGCGCACGGCTGTGAGTTGCTGTGGATACGAGCATGGACCCATCGCCCCCGCAGCCCGCGGGGGCGTAGGTTAGCGGCGCGCAAAGGGGGGTAGGAGGAGGGGGGAGGGCTTCTTAGAAGCACCCTGCTTCTTAGAAGGCGCCAGCCTCACATCTATAGACAAAGCCCGCGCCTTCTGAGAAGCAGGGGTGCTTCTAAGAAGCCTCCCCCCCTCCCCCTGCCCCCCACTGCGCGTTGCCGACCATCGGACCCGCAACCCGCGGGGGGGCATCTACCCATCCTGAAGAAGGGGTGTCCAGGGATCGTCGCCTCCCGGGCCGGCCCGGGGTCTGCCGGGGTCTGCCGAGATCGCTCGCGTCGGCCCCGCCCTGGAGGGCCCCCGGAACGAGCCCAGCTGGCCCCGAGAGGCTCCCAAAAGGTTCAAAGAGGGCCCCAAGTCGCCCAAAGACGCTCCGAGAGGCACGAGATGGCCTCAAGGTGGACCAAGAGCCCGCCAAGACGCCACAAGCAGCCCCCAAGAGGCCTCCAAAGAGGGCCCCAAGAAGCACAAATCACTGATTCCCGTAAGGTGTTTGGAGGATTTGGAGGTTTCTCGCCTGCTCGGCTTTCCGGTACTCCAACTCCAAGACGGCCCAAAAGACCCCCGAATCCACCCAGACAGTCCCAAGAGGGGGCTCCAAGACGGTCGAAGAGCGCCCCAAGGCGGCCCAAGGGGCCCAAGAGAGGACGAACCGAACATCTGAGCTTTCCGCCCCAAGAAGTCCCCAGGAGGCCCCAAGAAGCGCCGAAGAGGCCCCAAGAGGCGCCAAAGAGGCCTCCAAGGCACCAAGAGGCGCCAAAGAGGCCCGCAAGAGGCATCCAAACCCCCAAAGAGGCCCCTCAAGAGATCCCGAACGATTATCCAAGAGGCTTGGAACCCACAGTACACTCAATATACATATGTATATATATATGTATGTATGTATTGATCGATTGGTTGCACATCGTACATTTCGCAACAGAAGTGGCACCATGTGGATCGCACCACATATAGTGACTTTACATGTGTAAACAGATGTTGATATATTATCACACTATTGCTCCGTATAGATACCACGCTAACAGCTTCCGGTATACGTAGATACTAAGAGATTTAATATGACAACTGGGCCCCGGCGTCCCGGTTTGCCCCGTACCCTGCGTTCTCTCCATTTCCGATGCGAGTCGGGCGGGGGGACTTGGAAATATCTGAAGGGCTCCGAAGAACTTGCTTTCCTCCTTCCTGCTCCTGCATCCTCCTCATCACCACTGACATTCCCTGGGTGGTGCGATTCGGTCACAGCTCCACCGAAGCAATGACCGACAGATGGTTTGAGCCTGCCACCAGCGGACCGAGCCGCATCGCATATGATCACAGGCGGCCATGGCTGCCCACCTCCCCGCCCGCTGAGTGTGGTTTTGGTGGTGGTTTCGGCGCCCTTCTTCGGGAGGGGAAAGAAGAAGGAAACCGGAACCGGAACCGGAACCGAAACCGGAACCGGAACCAAAACCAGAACGGAAGAGCGCCGGAAGAAGGCAAACGCAAACCGGAACCAAAACCAGAACCGGAACCAAAACCAGGACCTCGGGAGCCTCTCGAACCAAAGAAGAAAAAGGAAACCGAAACCGGAACCGGAACCGGAACCAGAACCGTGACCGAGGAGGCCTTCTTCGGGGCGGGGAAGAAGAAGGAAACCGGAACCGGAACCGGAACCGGAACCAGAACCATGACCGGAAGCGCCCCTGGGCACCGAGAAAAAGAAAGAAACCGGAACCGGAACCGGAACCGGAACAGGAACCACGACGACCGTCTCAAACGAATAAAGAAGAAGGAAACCGGAACCAGAACCAGAACCTGAACCAAAACCGTGACCTGGAAGGTTTTCTCTGCGGGCGAAAAAGAAGAAGGAAACCGGAACCAAAACCTGAACCGGAACCAAAACCGTGACCTGAGGGTCTTCTCTGGGGCGGAGAAGAAGAAGGAAACCGGAACCGGAACCGGAACCGGAACCAAAACCGTAACCTGGAAAGTCTTCTTTGGGACCCCGAAGAAGAATCAAACATAAAGAAAAGAGAAAAAAAAAGAAAAAGAAAGAAAAAAAGGTGGGATAAAAAAACATCAAAAAAAGAAGAAGAAAAAGAAACCGACCAAGGACAAAACCGGGACCAAAAACCGTACCTGGAAGGTCTCTTTGGACCCCGAAAATAGCCTCCCAGAGTCTTACAAAGGAAACCGGAACCAAAACCGGAACCGGAACCAAAACCGTGACCTGAGGGTCTTCTCTGGGGCGAAGAAGAAGAAGAAGAAAACCGGAACCGGAACCGGAACCAAAACCAAAACCGTAACCTGGAAGGTTTTTTCCGGGACCCCGAAGAAGAAAGAAACCGGAACCAAACCAAAACTGGAACCAAAACCGTGACCTGGGGGGTCTTTTTGGGACCCCGAAGAAAAAGGAAACCGGAACCAGAACCAGAACCGGAACCAAAACCGTGACCTGGGGGGTCTTCTTTAGGACCCCGAAGAAGAAGGAAACCGGAACCGGAACCGGAACCAGAACCAAAACCGTGACTTGGTAGGTTGATTTGTGCCCCGAAGAAGAAGGAAACCGGAACCGGAACCGGAGCCAGAACCAAAACCGTGACCTGGGGGCCTTTTGTGGGACCCGAGAGAAAAAAAAATAAAAAAAAAAAGAAAAAAAAAAAAAAAAAGAAAAAAGAAAAAAAAAAAAAAAAAATAAAAAAAAAAGAAAAAAAAAGAGCAAAAAAAAAAAAAACAAGAAAGAAAAAAAAATAAAAAATCATAAAAAAAAAAAAAAAAAAAAAGAAAAAAAAAAAAAAAAAAAAAGAAAAAAAAAAAAAAAAGAAAAAAAAAAAAGAACAAAAAAAAAAAATAAAAAAAAAAACTGAACACCGGAACCAGAACCGGAACCGGAACCAAAAACCGTGACCTGCAACTTCCTTGGCTTCGAAAAAGACGGAAACCGAAACCAGAACTGGAACGGCATTCAGAACCGTGACCTGCGGTAGTCCACATGGCATTCCCGTGAAGAAAAAACTGGCACCATGAGGTGTTGTCTTGGAGACGGAGGTTATTGAATAGCGGGTGCTCCCTTGGAGATGGAGTCTCTTGGAAACAGAAGCGGTGGGGCTGGCGGGCTGGCGGGGGGCGGGCGGGCGGGTCGGGTTTTTAAGTAGACCTCTAGAGAGTGCTCTCTGGCAGCGGGGTCTGTTGAGTACTGGGTGCCTTCTTGGACACGGGGTCTGTTGAGTACTGGGTGTTGTCTTGGAGACGGAGGCTTGTAAATACTGGGTGCTCCCTTGGACACGGAGTCTGTTGAATATTGGGTGCTGCCTTGGAAACGGGAGCTGTTGAATAGTGGTTGATCTCTTGGAAACGGAGTCTGTTGAGTAATGGGTGCTCTCTTGGAGACAGAAGCGGGCGGTCGGGCGGGCGGGCGGGGGGCGGTGTGGGCGGTCGGGATGCGCTCTGCAACGGGGTGTGTTTGGAACGGAGTCGTCTCAGGTGATCATATTGCCTTGGAGACGGACTGTTAGTAGTGCTGCACTCTCTTTGAAACGGAGTCTGTTGAGTATGGGTGGCTCTCTTGGAAAACCGAGGCGGGCGGTCGGCGGGCGGGCGCGGGCGGGGGGCGGGCGGGCGGGCGGGTCGGGTTTTTAAACTAGACCTCTAGTGGGTGCTCTCTGGCAGCGGGGTCTGTTGAGTACTGGGTGCCTTCTTGGACACGGGGTTTGTTGAGTACTGGGTGTTGTCTTGGAGACGGAGCCTGTTGAGTACTGGGTGCTCTCTTGGACACGGAGTCTGCTGAATGCCAAGTGCTGTCTTGGAGACGGAGGTTGTCTGAGTAGCGGGTGCTTTTTGGGACGGAGTCACTTGAGTAGCGGGTGCTCTCTTGGAAACAAAAGCGGGCGGTTTTTTAATACACCTCTAGTGGGTGCTCTCTGGCATCGGGGTCTGTTGAGTACTGCGTGCCTTCTTGGACACGGAGTCTGGTGAGTACACACGGAGTCTTGGCGCTCTCTTGGCCACGGAAGTCTGATGAATACCAGGTGCTGTCTTGGAGATGGAGGTTGTTTGAAACGCGTGTGCTCCCTTGGAGACGGAGTCAGTTGAGTAGTGGGTGCTCTCTTGGAGACAGACGCGGGCGGTCGGGCGGGCAGGCGGGCGGGGGGCGGGCGGGCCGGGCTTTTACATAGACCTCTAGTGGGTGCTCTCTGGCAGCGGGGTCTGTTGAATACTGGGTGCCTTTTTGGACACGGGGTCTGTTGAATACAGAGCGCTGTCTTGGAGATGGAGGCTGTTGAATACTGGGTGTTCCCTTGGACACGGAATCTGTTGAATACCGGGTGCTGCCTTGGAGACGGGAGTTGTTGAAATGGAAACGGAACCCTCGGTGGCTGCTCTCTTGGAAACGGAGTGTGTTGAGTAATGGGTGCTCATTTGGAGGCACAAGCGGGCGGTCGGGCGGGCGGGCGGGGGGCGGGCGGGCGGAACGGGCTTTTTAACTATACCTCTAGTGAGTGTTCTCTGGCAACGGGGTCTGCTGAGAACTGGGTGCCTTGTTGGACACGGAGTCTGTTGAGTACTGGGTGTTGTCTTGGACACGAATCTTGTTGAGTACTGCGTGCTCTCTTGGACACGGAGTCTGATGAATACGAAGTTCTTTTGGACACGGGATCTATTGAGTAGTGGCTGCTCTTTTGGAGACGGAGCCTGTTCAGTAGTGGGTGTTTTTTTGGAGACGGAGGCGGGCGGTCGGGCGGGGGGCGGGCGGTCGGGTCGGGTTTTGATGAAAGACCTCTAGTGGGTGCTCTCTGGCTGCGGGGTCTGTTGAGTACTGGGTGCCTTGTTGGACACGGAATCTGTTGAGTACATAGTGCTGTTTTGGGAACGGAATCAGTTGAGACCTGTGTGCTCCCTTGGACACAGAGTCTGTTGAATACTGGGCGCAGCCTTGGAAACGGAGTCCGTTGAGTAGTGGGTGCTGTCTTGGAGACACAGGCGCGAGGTCGGGCGGGGGGGCGGGCGGGCGGGTCGGATTTTTTTTTTAACAGACCTCTAGTGGGTGCTCTCTGGCAGCGAGGTCTGTTGAGTACTGGATGCCTTTTTGGACGCGCAAGTTGTTGAGTACAAGGTGCCGTCTTGGAGACGGAGTCTGTTGACTAGTGGGTGCTACCTTGGACACGGAGTCTGTTGAATACTGGGCGCTGTCTTGGAGACGGAGGCAATTGAATAGTGGCTGCTCTCTTGGAGACTGAGTCTGTTGAGTAGTGGGTGCTCTCTTGGAAACAAAGGCGGGCGGTCGGGCGGGCGGGTGGTCGGGGGGCGGGCGGGCGGGTCGGGTTTTTGAATCGACCTTTCCTGGGTGCCCTCTGGCAGCGGGGTCTGTTGAGTACTGGGTGCCTTCTTGGACACGGAGTCTGTTGAGTACACGGTGCTGTCTTGCAGACGGGGTCTGTTGAGTGCTGGGTGCTCCCTTGGACACGGAGTCTGTGGAATACCGGGCGCTGCCTTGGAGAGGGAGGCTGTTTAGTACAGAGTGATGTTTGAGAGACGGGGTCAGTTGACTCGTTGTTTACTGTTTTGGAAGCACAAGCCGGAACCGGAATCGGAACCAGAACCGTGACCTGGAAAATCTTCGTTTGGACCAGGAAGAAGAAAGAAACCGGAACCGGAACAGGAACCAAAAACCGTGCCTTGGGGGGTCTTCTTTGGGAGCCCGAAGAACAAGGAAACCGACGCCGGAACCGGAACCGGAACTGAAACCAGAACCATGATCTGGATAGGCTTCTTTGGGGCCCCGAAGAAAAAGGAAACTGGGACCAGAACCGGAACCGGAACCAAAACCAGAACCGTGACTTGGAAGGCTTTCGGTGGGGCCCCGAGGAAAAAGGGAAACGGAACCAGAAGCGGAACCGGAACCAGAAACCGTGACCTGAGGGTGCTCTCTCGGAGACGGAGTATGTTGAGTAGTGGGTGCTCTCTGGCAGCGGGGTCTGTGGAGTACTGGGCGCCATCTTGGACACGGAGTCTGTTGAGCACACGGTGCTGTCTTGGAGACGGAGTCTTTTGAGTACTGGGTGATCCTTTGGACGCAGAGTCCGTTGAATATTGGGTGATGTCTTGGAGACGGAGGCCGTTGAGTAGCTGGCGCTTTCTTGGAGACGGAGTCCGTTGAAGACTGGGCGCTGTCTTGGAGACAAAGTAATCGGAAGGTGGGAGGGAAGAGCACGAGGAGGAATACGAGGAAGATAACAAGGAGGAGGAAGAGGAGGAGGAGGAGGAGGAGGAGGAAGAGGAGGAACAGGGCGCGGGAGGGATAATAATGAGGACAAGCAAGAAAGACCGCGCAGAGAGGCGCAGGCGCAGCAGAAGCACACGGAGCGAACAACTCAACTGTCAAGCACAGTGAAACGCGAAAGCCCTGCTGAAACCCACTGCGTCGGTCGAGGCTGAACGCGCAGGGCGACCCAAACGAAGCCGGGCTAATTAAGCAGGGCGGTTGCTGTCAGGAGCGGGCCTGGTTCTCAGGAGCGCTTGGCCCTTGCTGACATAACCTTGGTGTTCTCAAAATCGAACAGCAAATCTTCCGGCTGCGTCGGCGTTGCCGCGCAACCGCTCGGCGCATTTTGGTGTTTTCTGAAACAAATATGTGTGGAATTGATTGCCTTAAAAGCAAGGCTGCAATTACGTTCGTATTTCCTTTGCTGCGCGGCGTTCTGGGATGTGGCGGACGCGCGCGGCTGCGCACATGTATAATAGTAAACGGCAAAATGCCCCGGGTTCATATTCATTCCCACGTACGTGATCCGATCAAGAAACGAAAAGCACTGCTCGCAAGCCTCAGTGTCGATGTGGGCAGTGAGATGTTTGTTCTCGTCGTGCCTGGGGTCAAATTTCCTTGCAGCCTCTGGGCCCTCCAAGCAACGAATGTGGTTGCGCACGTGCCAACTGTCAAGCATATAGTGTAAGAGGCTTAATAGCCGAGAAGTCGCCGTGCGGCCGCGCCGCTTCGGATTGGTGGCGTACTTCGCCAAGGCGCAAGCGTTGTCAAAAAATACCACATCAGGAACCCGACCACCGAGCCCTGCATCCCGGCACTCTTGGATGAATTGCACAACGCCCGCCAACACGACGTACACTTGGCTCGCCCCTTCTCCAAACTGGTGTTCTTCCCAATCCAAAAAGAGCCGGCAACCGCTCACGGCGGCAATAATTCCTCCCAGACGTCTGCGCTCCCATTTTTTGGGAGCTTTGCTTCCCTGCGCAGCTTTATCGATATGGCATTCGCCCTTGTCGCAGTCGTCCTCGGCGAGCACGTGCGCGCCTGAAGGGGCCGTCGCCTGTGAGCCACCGCGCGCTCTCTGGACGCGTTTCGCGCCGCGTGCCGCGGTAGTTTTCAGTCTGGACATGTCGTAGCTCCGGCGCATAGTCAGGCTCGCGTCAGAGGATTTCAACCATGCCTGCCGCGTGCCTTCGCCGTCCACCAACGGCTGCTCAACTTGATACTCGATCTCGCCTCCGACGGTAGCCCTGTGCTTGAGGATGCGGCCAACCTCTTCTGCAGGAGCGGGGAGATCCTGACGGGGGCGGAAGTGCCGCGCATGGATTTTATGCTTTTAAACTATTGTCGAATTTTCACCTACGGTAGCCGCGCAAGCATGGCAACGGAACGCTCGGCTGGAACCCTGGGGCCCCCCGCGCATGAGAAATGTGGCCCCGGAAACCGATGGGGTAAGAGTTCGCCCGGGTGTCCTCGGCAACTGCGTCGTGGTCAGCGCAGTGCAAGCCTGCCTGCAAAGGCGGCCTGGGGCAACCCTGCTGCAACCACGCGTCCACTTCTGGGACGTGGCGCGGCGGGCCTTCCAAGCAAGCGCGCAAGAAACGTTTGGCCCCTCGTTTCCCGTCGAGCCCAGCCGCGAAATCCGCCGACCCCTGAGGGTCCGCAGGCGAGCGGGGGTCGCGGGCGGGGTTCTCAGGGGGAGCCCTCGAGACCCGACGGCGTTTCCTGACAGCCCCGCTGGGCAACGGGGTGCGAACGCGGCCCCGTGGACCGCGCAAGACGGCCAGGCCGCCTCTCGCCTTCCCGCGCCCCCGAGATCCCAGACCATGGCGCCCCGGAGAAGCCCAAGAAAAACATTGGCCCATGACGGCCTCAAAATAAGGAAAACCCGCAGCGTGGGCGGACGCGGCAGAAGCCCATGGGATAACGAGAACAGGTGTCGCACGTGGCGACATGTTCAAGCGCCCACTTTCGCAGAAAACATGCTCGCATTGTTGGGCGCAACGCCAGCAACCATGCGTCGTCGACGCCTGCTCTCGCTGACCAAAACTGCGCCCAATCCATCTCTGCAATGGTAGAAGCGGGCAAGAACCGCACGATAGCCCAGGCAAACCATAAGCCTTCGATCATCAGAACTTTGTCGTTCGAACAGGTTGCGTAACGTTCCGATCTAACTGGCCACTTGCGTTGATCGCAGAAAATGTCGCGAACTGCATGGAAAGACCCCCGGGCATGGTGCCCGCCGCCGCGCCCCGCGGCGCGCACTGAGGCGCAGCGTTGCCCGAGCTCTATGAGGCGACCTCTAAATGAAGCGCGCAGACAAGCGCGCAAGGAGAATGGGGGCATCCAACATGCGTCTCGGCACGCGCATGCGCTGCATCATTGGAAGCGCGTTGCTCCGCAGTGGCCACAAGAGAAAATCCAACGTGCATCCGTTATTTTCGCCACGCATGAGAGCCCGAGCGCTGGGGATGACGTGTCTTCGCGCGTGCAGACGCGTGGTGCTCGTCTACCAGCTTCGGCCCACCCGCCCACTGCGACCAGGCTGTGGGTATGAAACCTCCGGGATGTCCGTCGGGATCTCGTTGGGGAGCTTCTCGCGGGCCTCTTGGAAGCAATTGCGAAGCCTCTTGAGGGCTTCTTTGTGGCTGTGGTGGCCTCTTTTGGGATTATTGGGGGCCTCTTGGGGCCTCTGGGGGGCCTCTTTGGCGCCGCATCGAATGCGACGCTCGCGCGGCGGTGGAAACTGCCGCAGGCGTCCGCATAAGACGCCGCTGGCGAGGACGAGGTCTTTGGGCGCGCTCGCCGCGCAATTGTTGGCGTCGGCAGCTGGCGCGAAGAAACGTCGCCAATTTCTGCATCGGGATGGAAACGAAGCCGTTGAACGGGATAATCGCCCGTCTTTGTGTTGTGGCGCGTGCGCGACCATGGCCCCAAGAAGAACCGCCCGCAACAAGTGCAGCGTCGCTCAATGGCCACACCGCAGCGCGACTGGGGCGACGCGCCGTACAACCTCAACGGCGCCCGTCTGCGGTGTGAGCCCAAAGAAATCTTGCACCCAGGACAAGATTCAACGCCGGGAAGGATCTCCAAAGGTGGTTCCCGACGCAGAGGTACTCCACGAAGCACGTCGGGCAAGGCAGTCTCCAACTGACGGGAACGGGATTCAAAACGGCACCTGCCGAACGCCCCCCCCCAACCCCGCCCCCCGACCCCGCCCCTGAGAGCTGGGGCAAGCGGGGCACGGGGAAGGGATCGTTCCAAAGAGTGGCGGTTGAGGGAACGGGACGAACAATCAAGCAATACTCAATGCGCTACCCCACCAGCCCTGCGGGCAAAAGTGGTTTAGCGCACGAAAGATTTCAAAACAGGGATCAGCTTGGGCCTAGGATGGGTCTCGTATGTCCCAAGATGTCCTGGATAATCCCCAAATAATTAGCACGCGTCGGCCTGCCTTGTGGAAGATCCGCCGCCCCTCTTCGGGCTGCCAAACGCACGCGGCGCGGCGGGTCTATGCGCGTTGGCCTCCATCAGCGCGGGTTTCAAGCGTGTCGGCACGCATAGATACGGACAAACGCACCTAATGAATGACCCGCAGGCTGGATCAAACCGTCGGGGGGGGGGGGGCGCATCGCCCAGATCGCCACGCCACTGAATAGTCATTCGCCATATTACCCGTTGGGATGCGACTGTTGCGATTATATGATAAGCTGATTGATCCATAGTTGTCGCGGGCCCACTGCAAGTCCAACGTTGGGTGCGATGCGATTTTGATATCCCTCTTTACACCCAAAGGAAGTCGTGGTGGTGCCGATTCTACTAGGGGCTGCCATGCTCCCGATCCGTTACGTAGGCAGTAAAGTGATGCGTAGATGGGTAGGCTGAGGGGGCGGCAGAGACGGGGTATAAAATAGTGGTATGGACACATGCCGTACTACACGAATGAACCACAGCAAATCGAAACCCATGTCCAGACATTCCCCGCCGTATCGTCATTCGGTGACCGTTGGCACTATCGCCGGGGGCCGTCGGCAAAGGCAGGGCGCCCGTCGGATGAACTCGACATCTCCATCTGCAGCAGTGATGCCGTGGACAGATGACAGACCGTCTATGGCCATGTGCACGCAGGATTGTAAATCGTAGCCACAATGCGCAGTGATGAAGACACCCACGCACTGGGGCGGCAGCGGGTCCATCGCCGCAGACAAAAGATCCCGTGGAGGCGGCGCTGTCATAACTAAAGGGCGCAACGGTCGTTACGCAGGCTTCGATCGGGCTCTGAACCCCAAAATGATAGAGCCAGACCCTCGCTGATCCCGAACACGAATGGCGAAGAGCGGGCAAGTGGGAGCGAACAGTCTTGGAATGATTGTTGTTGCTGCTGTTGTTGTTATTGTTGGTGTAGTGGTTCTCTCGATGTTGCGACAATGCGCATAGCTGCCAATACTGCTGACGATGATGGATGTGATGGGGGGCGTTCGTGGACACCTGGTGAACCGCACAACCTTGAACGATCTCCGCTCCTGGGGCTCTCCAGAGGCCTCTCGCGTACTTTCGCATCGTTTTTAAAGCCGTTTGTTTCTTCTTGGCCCCAGGGCCCAAAAAACCGCCCCGAAAGGGTGATCATTGTTGAACGCCCGCGCCGGCTTCGCCTCCACATCGGGGCGGCGCAAACCTGCCGCAGCGGCAGGCGTCTCGCATGCAAGCGTGCGATGTCTGAAAGCGGCCTCGATCAGAATCGGTGGACTCCACGGTCTGACGACAGTGCGAGAGAGAGAGAGAGAAAAAAAAAAAAAGAGAGAGAGAGAGAGAGATGGAGAGATAATGCTCTTCGTGATGTACCCCGGCGAAGTACTGACGGGCGGATTCTGTCACGTCGCCCCAACGGCGCCTGTTTCCTGCTCCTTTTCCTCCACCTGCCCCCCCTTCTTTCTCCTGCTCCTGTTTCTGTTTCCCTCCTCCTCTTCTTCCTCCTATTCCTCTTTCTCCCCCTCCTGAAAAACGCGCCCACTGCATCCCGCCCCTGACGGCGCGAAGGAGGAAGTGGAACAATGACCGATACACCAGACTCACTTCTATAGCGATCACTTCTATAGTGCTCACTTTGAAATTGTGGTCTGGAAGGGGCCGCACATTCAGGCACATGCCGCACAGTCGCATGCACATGCCCATGCAAATATACAAAAGCCTCAACAGCATTGCCGCACATGCGCGCACATGCCACACCGTCCGACGCACAGTCGAATGCACGGTCAAGCAAAACTCTGAAAGCATAGACGCACATGCCCGCACATGCTGCAGAGATGTCGCAGGCGATAGTGGCCTGACCACCTGAGCTCGGGGCATTTCGCATCCCAGAGTTGCGAGGATGTCTCAGGCAAGCGTGTCCAGACCACCATTGGGGAAACCAGAGTGGCAAGGATGTCGCTGGTCAAGGTGGCCAGACCACCATGGGGCAGGACACCTCCGAGGTCTGAGTTGTGAGGATGTCTCAGGCGAAAGTGGCCTGACCACCATGGGGCAAGAGATCTCTGAGGTCAGAGTTGCGAGGATGTCTCTGGCGAGAGTGGTCTGACCACCTCAGCCCAGGGCGTCTCGGAACCCAGAGTTGCGAGGATGTCTCAGGCAGAAGTGGCCTGACCACCTGCTCAGGGCATCTCGGAACCCAGAGTTGCGAGGGTCTCAAGCGAAAAAGGCCGAGACACTATGGAGCAGGGCATCATTGAGGTCAGAATTGCGAGGATGTCTCCAGCGAAAGTGGCCTGAACACCTCAACTCAGTGCATCTCGGGCGAGGATGTCTTGCGCGCGGACGCGAACGCGCCGGCGCCCGGAGACGAACGCCAGCCCCGGCATTCTTGCACGTCCCGCACATGCCCGGCACAGGTACGCACAGTATTCGCACAGGCCGAGCTCGCCAGTGGCCGAGCCAGGCCAGCGATTCCGAGATTCCCTGAGCTCGGGCCGTCAAGCCACTTTCGCCTGAGACATCCTCGCAACTCTCACATCCTCCTCCTCCTCCTCCTTCTCCTCCTCCTCCTCCTCCTCCTTCTCCTCTGGCCGAGCCGAACAGGCGGGCGGGCTGGCCGAGCCGGGGGCGTCCGCCTCCTCCGTCTCCCGCTCCTTCCCCCCCCCTACACCGCGACCGGTTGTTACTGTGGCCCGTTGGGTGTTAGTATGGCCCGTTGGGTGTTAGTGTGGCCCGTCGCGCGGCCGGATGGGAGTTACTGTGGCCCGCGCAGGCCGCTCAATGAAAAGTAATATGTAAAGGTATCTCATGCTGGATCTGGAGAGATTCGCAACCCTTAAGGGATTGCACTCCCGCGCAGGCAAAAGTGGCCACAGTAACTCCCACCTGTAACCAACGTGGTAGTAGTGCTGGGTTAGTGGTGTGGTGGTCGCTGTGTTGTGTTAGTGGTGTGGTGTTGGTAATGTTGTGTTAGTGGTGTGGTGTTGGTAGTGGCTGGTTGTGCTGTATGCTGTGTTAGTGGGTGTGGTGTTGGTAGTGGTGTGCTGTGTTAGTGGTGTGGTGTTGGTAGTGTTGTGTTAGTGGTGTGGTGTTGGTAGTGTTGTTGAGTTGTTAGTAGGTAATAGTGTTGTGGTAGTGGCAGTGGTGCTGTGGTAGTGGTGCTGTGGTAGCGGTGTTGTGGTGTTGTGGTTGTGGTATTGTGGTAGCGGTGTTGTGGTGTTGTAGTAGCGGTGTTGTGGTGTTGTGGCACTGGTATTGTGGTAGTGGTGCTGTAGTGTGGTAGTACTATGGTGCTGTAGTGTTGGTGTTAGGGAGTACCATCCATAGGGGGTACTAACCCTAAGGAGTACTAGCCGTAGGGAGTGCTAGCCCCAGGGAATACCAGTCCTAGGAATTACTACCCCTAGGGCGTACTCGTCCAAGGGAGTACTCGTCCTAGCGAATACTCGCGCTACGGAATACCAGCCTTAGGGAGTACTACCCCTGAAGAGTGCTAGTCCGAGGGAGTGCTAGGAAGTGCCGGAAGAAAAAGCTCTTTGGAGAGCCCAAGAGGCTCTTCGGAGAGCCCAAAAAGCGTTTCGGATGCCCCAAGAGGCTCTTCGGAGGCCCCACGAGGCCCTTCGGAGAGCCCAAAAAGCCTTTAGGCGGCTGCAAGAAGGTCTTCGGCGGCCCCAAAAGGCTCTTCGGAGAGCACCAGAGGCTCTTCCGAGAGGCTCTTCGGTGAAGGGGGGGAAGAGTTTTTTTGGCCTCCTCCCCCCCCCATCAACGTACTCGATAATTAATACCAGCCGGAGGACCCCTGGCCATACTAACACCCACCGGGCCGCAGTAACAACCAACGGGCCGCAATAACACCTTACCTCCCCATCCACCTCCCCCCCCCACCCTCGCTTCTCCGGCCGAGCTGAGAAGGCGCGCGGGAAAATGTTTTACTAGGAGGGCACGCCACCGCCAGCTCACGAACCGGGCGAAGAACCGCCCCCGCCAGCAGCGGGCGAGTCTAAGCGCACAACGCACTCTTTCAGGAAGCTCTGGCACGCCCCAGGTTAGCTCTGCGAAGGCCAGGAGGCATTGGAGGCACAAGGGGTCTCAGTCAACTCCTAAGGCATGAGCGTGCATGTGCATTGGGATGTGCACGCATGTGCGCCCGCGCGCTTCACCGCATGTGCGTGCATGTGCGGGCCCGCGCGGCCTCCCGAGGAGAGGTTGCACAAGCATGTGCGTGCATGTGCCGATGACGGATATGCGATTCTCGCACACCTCCCGCATGTGCAAGCATGTGCGTGCATGCGCGTCGGACTGTGCATGCATGTGCGTATGATGGACACACCAAACCACAGCGCACATGCCCCCGCACATGCCCGGGCACGACGTGCACAGTAGGAAGTCCATCCAAAAAGGGCCGCACAGGCCTGGCACATGACTGGCACATGGTATAGATGCAAGTGCGGTGTAAAGGAATGATACGGGAAAACTGAAGGAACAAAAAAAAGGAAAGAGGGAGGGCGGAAGAGGGGGGGGGCAGGAGGGGAAAACTTGAGGGGCGGAAGCGATATTATTTTTGGGGAAGGATTTTGTTGAGGAGGGTGGAGGGGGGCGACGTCGATTGTGGAATCTGTAAGCAATACTATATCACAAAACCAACTGGCGATCGCGTGGGCGATCGGTAATGCAAACGATAAGGCGCCGGGCAACAAGCCCACCGTCGAAACGGTGACTGGACATGCGCGTGGGTCCCCAGCGTAGGGGGCCATCTTGAGCGCACGTGCGCTACACTTGGAAAACACACGCGCTCCGCCGAGGAGGGATCGGCCTATGCAGGCAAGCTTGCCGCGAAGGCGATATCACTTCACCGTGACCTTGCTGGCAGACTGCGGAACCGCAGGTGCCGCTTTCAGCACCTCCCCCAAGACGTAATCGAAGGACACCCTCGTCCAAGAATCATTGCACGCCGCCCCCTCCAATTTAGTGGTCATTGTGCGTTCGTGACCTTCTGACATGGACAGCCAGTCCTGGAGTTTCTTGGCAACGTGGTCGAGGTCTTCGGGCGACGCGGGACGAAGAAAAGTGAGCCGGCTAGTCCGCGACGCCCCGCAGTCGCGAGGCCACCCAGGCACGCGAAAAAGAAAATCACGAAACAGCTCGTCGCGCAGGCCCGACCGCCAGCTTAAACAGAAAGCGCGCACCAGGCATAGCCCCGTAGGAATTGCGAGGGCCAGCCGTCGTCCAGGGGTTGCGCCATAGCATGCGCTGTGGATTGCGCAAGCCATGGGTTGCGCCATGGGCTGCGCTTCGCCTATGCACTGTCATCAGGGGTAACGCCTGCCACGGGGTACGCGACGGAGAACGAAGCGCACGTAGATGCGAGGTGACCGTGGCCAGAGCGCGAGCCGCGGAAAGCAACGCGGCCGCGCGGGCCCCCCTCGGCCCGAGAGACCCGAAAGGCCCTGAGGAGAGGTATGGGGCGATGCGAAAAATCAGCGCGCACGAGATTGCAGGAGCCAGCGGCGTGGAAAAGGCGACGGGTGCCGCGCGGGCGGAGCGGCGTTAGCCCAGGCACGTTGGACCGATTCGGCTCGTGCATCAAGCCCATGGCGCCGAAAACGCTCTTGACGATCCGCTGCCCCTGCCAAGGGCGCCCGGCTTCGGCAACAGGCGATCGGAACCCCCGACCGACGCGGCATCCAGAATGGCAAACTCGCGCGGCGACATGCGCCCCAACGTGGCTGGCCCGACGCCGAAAACCTGGACGATGCGCGCGCGGGCG